CTGCGCTCCCAGCGCCACACTCTCCCAAGTGCGCCACGGGCTCGGCCCCCTTTCCCACTTTTAATTTTACACATTTAAAGCTGTCCTGGGTTATAGTTTTCTGTAATTGTGCACTTTTCAGAAAAGATGCTGTTTTACTTAATAAGCCACATCCAAAATTTGCAATAAAAGTCAAAGATTTCCCAACATGTTCAAGTGGATTAGTTTAGAAAATTTAGAATTACTGGGAAATGTTCTATTTTTCTCTGATTTTTTTAGCAGCTCTTCACTTCAGAGACAGGATTTCAATCACTGTGGAGAGACATCCTTCCTTGGAGTTGAATTTACTTCAAACCATTCCAGGAATACTTATTACTTAGTGAATTTCAGCATTTACTGCAGGTGTCAGCTTCCTGTGGTGTAGAAAGCTGCTCTGAATTTCTGCCAAGGATTTATGAGTTTTTGTGTCACCTCAGTCCTAGGTGATGATCAGACAAGCTTTGGGCTAGGCAAAGGTGTAAAAACTGCTCAAAAAAGATGCCCCAAACCAGCAGTTGTCCTTAAAAGGCAGCTTGCCCTTTGCTTAATGTCTGAGCACTTTCTCATCAATCCTAACACTTCTATTCACTTGTGACTGATATATATATATATATATATATACATACATACATAAATACATACATACATACATACATATATACACACTTGTATATGCAACATATATGAGGGTACCTCAAAAAGTTCATGGAAAGATTTGTATTATGTTTCAATTCTATTTCTCCACAAAATTTTGAAGTACCCTCATATATATGTATGTGTGTACAGATTCATATCTTTACATAATGTGTGTATTAATATACTGTACTCTATGTATATGCATATATGTATCTATACATATATAAATATATGTGAAGAAGGCTGAGTAAGGAAAATTTCAACAGCATAAAAGGCTGTGACTCACTGTAATGAATGTGCAGACAAGGGTCAGTCTTGATACAAATCTCATATCTGTATATAAAACCTATGTGTTTTAATATGNCCACATTTTGGTAGACATTTCCTCATGTAATGGGAATAGCACACATTAGAACTGCATTTTATGATATGTAAGACCAGTTAAGTTCCTCCCCAAATCTGTTAAGTGTTTGGGGAAAGGGAAGGAAACATAGGAATTCAGAAAATAGATCTTCCAAGTCTCAAAGAAATAGAAATATGAAGATCTTTCTTTCCTATAATTGTCTTCATAGTTTTGGTAACTCTGTTCCAGGGAAGAATTGAATGCCAGGTGAACTTGAATTTCAGGAAGTGTAGTCAGTGTCCAAAGAGATACTTAGAGGTAAAATACCTGTCAGAGTCTGTTATATCATTGCTATATCCAGTTAGGTTAAGTTCATTGATCATTTGGTGGTTAAAGAAGTAAGAGTCTAAAAATGATGAGAAAGTGGGGGTTTTTTTATGTCCCAAATATATCATGATTCATCTCTGAGAGATTCTCTTGAAAAATGAGGCTCATGCTCAGTATCTAACATTGTTTTCAGTGTCTAAACTCTCTGGGGGCAAGTTAACTATAAAAGAAAGATGTCTTATTTTTAGCTTTCAAAATGTTGACATCCAGATTATAGCAAATTCTTTTTCACTATGGAAAAGACAAGAATAGTCCTGGTTTTTCTCTATGTTAACAGAATATGAGTTTTAAGAGAAGATTTTAGTTTGTGGAGACTGGGACTGTGTTTGAGTCATTTGATGCGCCCAGCTGTGGTTTCTGTTTTCTTCTTTCACTTAAACTTGCTACACTAGTTCTATCCAAATATATAGCATAATGCACCATTCCAAGAAACACTGTCTACCTTGGTGGATGATACTAATTTACTAATAAGAATGACATATTAGACCCTTTAGGGAGGGGAAGGAAAAGCCCAGGCACTTGGATGACACAGTTTTTGTAAAAGGACCGAAAAGTCAGGGTTTATTTCTGTTCTTGACAGTTTCTTGAGCATCTAGGTTCAGTAACCAAGAAAAACAAACCCTCATCTACAAACCAGGTCTATTGAGGTGGGACATATTCCTCACTATATCCATCTCTTCGCCTAACTCCACATTCTGTGCCCTTTGCCAAGGTTCCATCTCCATTAAGGTTAGGATGGGGAAAGGAGGGAGCCCCTTGGACCCTCTCTGGAAGGAACTGCAACTAGCCTAGGCAGAGTTTAGGTTCATAACAGTGGCCACTGCCAACCAGCTGTTTTGCTGCCCCCAGCTCCAGTCTGACCGTGCTAGCACTGCCCCAGTTGACAATTTCCAGGTTATTTCTTTGTAGTCCTTCTCCAGCCGCTGGGATCCACACTGGCCAGTTCTGCTCCAACAGGATATTCCTATCGCTTAAAAACCCAACTCATTAAGCCAGATTTGGTTTACTGGTTTATTTCTTCCTTTACTTGTCTTCATGCTAAAAATTTCAAACCAAAATATATGAACTCAATAGTTGACTATCTTCCCTGAATGCCTTTGTGTACATCCATAGAAAGTGCCGGGTAAGACTCAACAGGGTATAGTTGAAATGTCTTCCTGAGACATGAAGCAGATGAATGGAGCCAAGATAATGGTCCTACATAAAGGAAAATAGTTAATAATAACTGTAGTATCTGAGTGCTTCCTCTATGCTAGGCACTGAGCACCACCCAAGCTAAATGTTTTTCACAGATTTTTTTCATTTAATCTTCATCTAAGGTAAGTATTATTAACCCCTATTTTACAGGCAGAGAAACTGAAGCTTAGCAAGCAAGCATTAAGTTACATATTCAAATTCACAGAATTAGTAAATAGCAGAGGCCAGTTTAGAAAATCAGCCAACATGACTCCAATGCATGGGCTCTTTCTAATAAGCTATACACTTCTCACAACTGAAAGATTGCCTCTAGAAGTTTTAATTTAATTCTAAAATATGGTTCTCAGCCTTCTACTATTTTACTCCGCCCCTAGGGAACATTTGGCTATGTCAGGGGACATTTTTCATTGTCACAACTGATGGGGGAGTGCTACTGAAATCTAGTGAATAGCGGCCAGGGATAGTGCTAAACATCCTGCAATGCTCAGGACAGCCCCCAACAAGGAATCATCTGGTCCAAAATGTTAACAGTGCTGAGGTTGAGAAACCTTGATTTTAAAAATGGTGGATTTTTAAAGCCACGTCATAAAATGTAGGTTGTTTGTCTGTATCTCACTCATATGTGCATTCTGTCTCATCACAGATGACAGCAGCCTTCTGAATCTAACTCCCTATCCCCTGGTTAGAAGACGGAAGAGAAGGTTCTTTGGGCTATGTTGTCTCGTCTCAAGCTAGGCAGTTCCTCCTGGAAACCCACCATTGGGAACACCTGAAAAAAAAATCACAAAACCCGAGGACCTCCAGACAGCTGAACCACACAGTTATTGGTTTTTGACTATGTTTTCTATGCTTCCTTATTACTTTTATCCACCTTCCCCACCCTTTTAAATAATTTTACACTTGAAAGCAGCTGCCATCAAGAAAAAAAGAACAGATTTAAAAAGCAGGCTGTTTTTAAAAGGATTTTTAAAGCCGACATTGTGCATGTCTGCTCCAAACCATGCCATAACAGATGCAAGAATTATGATTTTTAAATTATTTAAAGGTTTTTTTAATGTATTATACAGAGAAAAATTATTTCACATGTAATAGTATCTCTATAGCAATTGATGATCTCATGTTAACAAATTATCACATATGAAAGGAGTCTTTAAACATAGAAATCTATTTAAAACTGCAAAACCATGTTCAAAACTCCAATCTATCAATATCATTAGAAATAATATTATAACCAAACATATACCACTTCACCTATTGCTTTCTCTGCACTCATTTACATTTAGTCTTCCATTCTGTCAGAATCTAAGAGCTTCAGCATAAAAATATCTTAATTTATAATGCAACAAAAACCATATATGAAAAGTACTTAAATTTTGTAAATACACAATAATCCTAATACCTTCGTACAATGCATATGGGCAAATAATTTCCTTTTGATCCAATGGTGTCTTTTTCAGCTTCTTGGAGAATGAAGTAATTCAGTTAGAAATGGTGTAGTAACATATACAATTACCCTCAAATGTAAAATTGAATATTATCACATTTTGTTCTAATTGAAATCTGAAGCATGGTGTCTGCACATCAGCATAGTGTTAAATCTTATAGGGCATGCTGGAATTAGCTCAGATCGTAAAAATATTTAACATTTTACATTGTTAATAAAATTTTTTTAATTAAGCTAAGCTTGTCTCATTTTAGATGACTATGCAGATATGACTTTTCCAATGTGTACCTGGTGTCTTATCTTATGCTTAGAATCTTGAAAGCAGGACACACTAAGCAATACTATATTATAGAGAGGAGGAAGACACATGCTTTGTTTTTCTGCTCACAGCTTTGTTGTGATCTTCCTCCACTAAACTTATAACATGGTACAAATTTTGTTTTATTTCACCATTTTTCCTTTGGGTCATTTCCCAAACAGAATTTCCTATGGGTTAAGAGATCACATCTTCGCACTTCTTTTCTTGTTTTCCACAGTCTGAAAAAATCTTCAAGTCAAACAGGAGCCACCAGTGTCTAGTACAATAGAATGATGAGCTAGATGCTTGTAAGTGGTTCATCCAAGACACACCTCTGTTCCCAACCCAGGACATTATACTTATGTTCATGGGCGTTTATATATACACCAATACTTTGACCTAAAAACTAAATGTATTAAAGCCTTTAGCTTTAGTGAAGATGAAGAGAGATACAGATGAACTACTGGAATAAGTATTGTATTAGGTTGAATTACATGAAATTGCTGATATTTGACTGTTTTGACCTACAAAAATCACAGTTTTATATAGTTCAACCTAATAGTACCTCATGTTGTAGAAATTATACCTGGAATTGTCTTCTAGTTCTTTTGATTGAAAGTGAAAGAGTTAAAGGGTTGGAGGAGATCTCAAAAGGCTATATGGATCTCTATTTAGATCATACCAGCTAGTTGTTGGCCTTATTCTTGGAGTCTAGAGTTGTGTTCCAATGAACCGGTAATTAATGCATGGTAATAGATATGCCTAGCTTCACAAAAAGAAGTACTCTTGAAAAGTTATATGAGAAAAATCACAATTTTGTAAATCAAATACTTGTAAAGCAATTGTAGGAATATGCTATTTAAAGACTCCTAGGATGAATACTCCCTTGCAAAATAAGCAGGTAGTACTCCCAGACTGACCTGGTCTG